AGAGAGAGAGAGAGAGAGAGAGAGAGATGGCAAGAGAAAGAGGGATTTTTTTTTACCAGTTTACCAGTCATATCATATCATATATATATATTCTTATATGAGCTTAGTTTCCTTTGATTTTTTACCAGTTTACCAGGTATATCATATCATATATTTTTATGAGCTTCGTTTTCTTGGATTTTTTACCAGTCATATCATATTATATATTCTTATATGAGCTTAGTTTTCTTTGACTTTTAACCAGTTTTATACCATATTCAATAAACTTATGAGCTTATATTCTTGAAATTTCATGTGGGGAATAAAAGAGGTAGTAATCCATATACATGCATTTCCATGTAAAAACAGTATTTACACATATTTACAAGATTTCAATTTCACCTTGTTATGGTGAGCTTTAAAACATCCTAGGACACAGAGGGGGACTTGGCATACATTACAGTGTGCTTTGGTCATTTTGTGCTTCCATGTGTGTAGCACACGTGACACCTTTTGTACTTTTTCCCTGGGTTCTCCCGGAGGATGTGTGGGTATCTTCCCTGTAGCCTCAGCGCCGTATTAGTGATAACAGGTTGTCCTCGGCCACTGTACCTTGGGGCATCAGGCAGGTATTCGTACAGGAGGCCCCTGACCACCTCCTCCCTGAAGTGGAGCTGCTGGGTGATGTTCCCCTCAACCAGCTTATAAATCAAGAAGGCATTCGTTATTGAAAGGTCGAACAGGTACATAAATACCTTCTTATACCGTTTCAGGCTGCAATGCACTGCTGGGTAGTAGGAGGCCATCTGGTCTCCCTTATCTACACCCTTCATGCCCTCATTATAGTTTATAACTACTTGAGGTTTCTTTACTAGGTCTCCATCTCTGTTCTCCCTATCTATTTGCACCATGGTTGACCTGTAAAAAATAGGCAGCATGTAGATGGCCTTCTTACCCATCCACTTTAGGCACAGCATTCTTGTAGGAGTACTGTGCCCCTCCATGTCATTAGGACGCATCTTATCTGGAAAGTCATGAGGCATGCCTTTCCTGTTGGACCTTACTATCCCACAGGCACTAGTGTATCTTCCCTGTAACCAGTGGAAAACGGTTGGCGATGTATACTAATTGTCTACGTAGAGACAATAACCTTAATCAAGAACCATTGCTGAGTCCATCAAATCAATAACCTTGTGGGACACAGGCAGCTCACCCTTCTCTTGTCCTGTCTAAAATTTAAAAGAATAAACATGTCCACAAGTTGGTCCAGTGGATACACTTAGTTTATAGATTTTTAGGCCAAATCTTGCCCTCTTTGTGGGGTTATAGGTCACAGACCTTAGACAGCCTCTGAATTTCCACAAGCTTTCGTCTACTGTGATGGTTCGGAATGGAATGTAAACCTCCCTGCAGCATTGGAATGATGGAACCAAGCTTCCACATTCTGTTTTCTTCACTATAGTCATCTTGGCCTGCAAAGTGTAGACATGTGGAAATTTGATCATTCCTATCCCGTGGCATGTGTTTTGGGAAGAAGGGGGCATCGTGGATGTCATCCTTCACCCAGTGTTGCGTTTGGCGGGGCTTCCGGGAGATTCCCATTATCCTTCTGATGGCCAGGCAGACCTGAAACTCCGGTACTGTTACCTGCATCCATCTCCTTTCGTGTCCTTTCACAAAACCGGGATGTGACCTGGCGTATCTGTAATTGATAACAAGTGTTTACTAGCTTTGTATATCATGAGATGTTATTTCAAACATGTTGAGTTTGTTTATCATTTTAAAAAAAGAGAGGATACTTGTTTGTTTCTTCCACGATGATTTTTACCATATCTTCTGTGAAGAACGCCTTCAGAAATTTGTGTAGTGAATACATGGAATCGAGGTTTATGGTCGGTCTCGGTTTTACCATGAACGCAAATTGCCTTACAAAATTCTCCTTGTTTGAACACTTGAATTGGAGCAGAGTCCTTTTCATCTTGCGGGCGTGAATCCGGTCAGAGATGGGTGTATTCGAATCGATGCTACTAATGTGTACCATGACGTACTCCACCTCGTCATCTGATCAGTCAGTGACTGGATCGGCTGGATCCTCCGGATCCCTTGGCTGAGGTTTGTATCAATTTCCCCCTCTTCATCGGAGCAATCTCTGGATTTCGACCCAGCTTGTCTTTCCTCAGGGAGATAATCATCAAGATCATTGATCTCGTCAGAATAGTCAAGTCTGAAATCCCTAGAAGTGCCTGGTGTGGGTTCCATGGCTGCGAGTGTCTACCTACCTGAAATCTGGGTCTTTTATGCAAACTTTTTGCACCATAATGTAACGTTCCAACCAATCAGACATATGAAGTAAAAACAGAAGACAGGGAAGTCGGAAATGACGTCAAAACACAGCATTGCAAATTTAAGGGAAGAGAGAAGGAGGGGGAGAAGGAGGACAGAGGGGGATTGGGAGAGAAGGGAGAGAGGTAGTGCAGAAAGGGAGGGAGAAAGAGGGACAGAAGACGTGGTAATCGGAAAT